AAACGGTGGGACGGATGACCAATGTCGCTTTTCGATTAGGGAAGGTACATGCTTTGAGAGATGTCGTAGTCTTAGACGTAAGCACTCACGACGTCCTTTTTGGCCTTCCCGCTCTTGTGGTCCTGCAAGCCAATCTGGATTTCGAAAGACGATCGATTGTCCTCCGAAATACAGGAGGAAAACCTTATGTTGTACCGATGAGATTGACCCTTCGTACCACCACTAACGTAACTCTGCGAGTTTCCCCCATGATGGCGGGAACCCTCCGCGTGATCACCTGGGATAATTCCGCAGACGACGGACAACCGTCAAAGGGCACGAACAACAGTGACGAGGATGATCCGATGATCCTGGAGATGGCACAACAGCGTATCCATTACCCTATGCAACGAGCAAATACAAGATCGCTAAGCTTAACTGATCAGAGTCTACAAATAACGCAAGCTATTATTATGGGTGAACCCCTCGTACAGATTCCGGGGATGGTCGATTCTATGGAACCCCCTCGAACCCTGTACGAAGGTATCTCCCCTCTGCTCGCACGATACAATGACAAAAGGCATTATTGCGACATCACAAATCTCCCACAATCTTTTTTGACGCCTGCAAAAGATTTATGATTGATACGCTTAGGACAAGAGACCAATTCTTTAGAACCCCCTGAGCGCCTCGAAACTGGACTCGGAATTAAGATTGCGACGAAACCAGTGCCTTAGCAGGACATTCGAGACGGAATAACACTGGAAGAACACGTGGCCATTCGAGAACAGAATGCATATATGATGGCCACGGTATTCTCCTGGCAGTCGGACAATTCGTTTATTTTTGCGCCCCCGCCCGAAAATACTAAACGGGTAAATACGAAACACATCGATGTACGAATATGGGATGAGCTGTACGAGTTACTTGTGCCCAAATACGTAGTGAGTGAGATCCATCATCTAATCGTGGAAATTCTGAAAGAATACAACGGAGCGATTAGTCTGACGTACACAGACATTGGACTGTCATTAGTCATACAGCACGAGATTCAAACTGGAAACCATGCCCCGATTCACTGTAAGTCATACAGATACTCCCTGGTAGAGCGGAAAACGGCCCTCGAGCGGATTCGAGAATTCGAAGCCAATGAGTGGATCGAACCCGCCACCGGACCATGGTCGTTCCCGGTAGTATTAGTGCCAAAAAAGAACGGATCGATTCACATATGCATTGATTATCGCAAGCTGAATCACATCACGATTAAATATGTGTACCCCCTTCCCAGGATTGACGATTTGCTGGATGCGATTGGTTGTGCTAATTATTTTAGTAAATTTGATATTCGTCACGACTTCCATCACATTCTGGTTAAGGAGGAAGATCGACCGAAAACGGCCTTTGTACTGTTTGAAGGCACGTGGCAATGGGTTCGATGTCCGATGGGGATTTGCAACACGCCTGCCACATTTCAACGAGCTATGAACGTGACATTTCAGAACTTCGTCAACAAGACACGGCTCACTTAGGCCCTCAGGGGATGATTAACTTCTGAGTCATGGTGTACATGGACGACATCCGAAACCTTTCACGGGCACGCCCAACACATCGAAACCTTTCACGGCCATGCCCAACACATCGAATGTACGTTAGGAGCTCCGAGAGACGCTGGGTTCAAGATCGCGCTCGAGAAGAGCGAGTTTTTCCTCTCGGAAATCTCGTTCTTGGGTTACATGGTGACACGTGGAAGATTGCGGCCAGATTCAAGGAAAGTCGCGGCGGTGAAAGTTGTTCCTGTCCCCACGTTAGTGACGCAGGTTCGAGCTTTCTTGGGACTGGCATCGTATTACCTTCGTTTTATCAAAGGCTTCGCTGCGACCTCTGATGAATCTGCTGCGAAAGGACCAGCCCCTTAGTTGGGACGCAAAGTGCGAACAGGCCTTCGCCACCCTCAAAGGCACTTTGGCGGCGGCACCTATTTTGATCCGATCGGACCCTACGAAGCAGTTCATTCTCATCACGGACTGGCAGTGAGAGGCGATTTTCGCTATTCTAGCGCAGAAGGGGAACGATGGTCGAGAGCACGTCATCGAGTACGCGTCTCGTACGGTGCCGAGCGAACGAAGGAACGACTCAGCCCCACAAGGTGAATGCTATGCTGTAGTCTGGGGAATTCAACACTTCCATCCGTACTTGTACGGGCATAAGTTCCTCTTTGTAACCGATCACGAGCCATTACTGGCTCTTAAGAAGCTCACTAATTATACGGGTATGATTTGATGGTGGGCGGTGCGTCTACAGGAATACGATTTCGACATTATCCATCGAAAGATAGAGAGACACGGCAACGCGGACGGGTTGACACGTCCGCATCGCCCCGCTAAGGTATCGAAGGGCAAAGAAATCATTTCGTGGAAGGAATCGGAGTTAGCGAACGGACCCAAGTACGGACAAGTGACAGGTCTTCCACGTGGCAAGAAGCAGGCGATTGGCAATGGGTGACGGAGGTAATCCTACGACTCCTCTCTCTCCCCTCTCATCTTCATCTTTTCTCTCCCTGCCCCAGGCTGCCCGACAAATTTTGTTATTTTTGTGAAGCAATCTCGCACGTCTACTCCATCTCCATGCGTCCTAGTGGGGAAGGCTATGCAGAATGGATAGATTGTCAACAGTGTGTCGCATGAGCCCATGACTCGTGCATCGAGTACAGAAATGGCGATAAGCTTTGGTTATGTCCCTTGTGTCGGACTGATAAGATCCCGACTGAAGCTCAATTCCTTGACGCTACGTCAGAAGGGTTGGAAAAGACCCAGAAGTTTAGAAGGGTCGAGGTATGGACGGACATCGCTCTAATTGCCACCTTGGTAGGAAACCCCCTCCAAGACTTCACTAAGGAAGACAGGCGGAGGGCCAATGAAAGAGCTCGGGATTATCGTTGGAACGAGGGCCGGTTAGAAAAACGAAAAACGGATGGTAGTGGAATTTGGATGGTAGTGCCGCACCTGTTCATGAGGTATGACTGGGTTAAGACGGCGCACGAGGAAACGGCAACCCATTTTGCCGTACGGATCACGGAAGCGGTAATCGACAGGAACGAGTGGTATTGGTCCAATATTCGTGATGATGTGAAATTCATCGTCGCGAATTGTCAGGTCTGCGTTGCTGACAAGGCGTCGTTCCAACCACAAAGATCGATAGTACCGACGGTAGTTGAACGACCTTTTCAAAGGGTCAGCATGGATACTACCGATATTGTGGTGCCCCCTGGACCAAATCGCTGCGAGTATTCAATCCTACTAGTATTCGTGGACCACTTTTCGAAATGGATTGAGGCATATCTGTGTCGCACGCCACAAGCAGCTGAAATTGCGCGATACGTCATTCGGTTTCTAGGGATGCATCATGACACAGAGGAAATCCTGACCGATAATTGGGTAGAATTCAGAAGGGAAGTTTTAAGGAATCTGGTCCTACGTGGTGTCGCCATTCGGAATATTGCACCCCACATGTCGCAATCAAATGGCCTAGTAGAAAACGTAAATCGGGTGATAAAGATAGCGTTGTGATGAAACATTGCAGCACGGGATCCAAGGCCCTGCCCAATATCGTAGATCACATCTTGGCGGTCCATCGKGGAACGCCTCACGAATCGACGGGCCTTAGCCCCTTCCAATTACGAACCAATAGTGTAGCTTGTGTCTCGATACCGAGCCTCCCCGATGAATCTTCATTGAACCGACGGCCCACAAGGGCCACGGTTCGGGACAAGGCCAAGCGGCATATGGAGCTGATGGAAATGTCCCTTCCCCGATTAGCCCGAAAGCACCAGAAAATGACTGAGTTGGCCCACGACCGACAGATCCGTAGCTACGAGGCTCGAAATGGGAATGCGGGACCACGGCCCCAATATAAATTAGGGGACCTGGTGCAGGTGAGGAAATGTGCTCGTCAAGGGAAGATAGCGCCACAATTCTTCGGGCGATTTCGCGTAATCGAACTCGGCCCGAACGGGGTGAACACTGTGCGCCTCGTGCCAGAGGTTTCGGGAAGCCGATCAGCTCGACCGATCGTTCGCCATGTGTCCTATCTACGTCTTCTCCCCTCATCTCCATCTCCAGTCGTGTCTGCTTCCTCCTTCGCTACAGAGGAGGACGACGATTCTTTGTCGCTCTCATCCCCTCCTATTTCTCTTTCTCCGTCCTCATCTCCATCGCCATGAGCTTTTCAGTGGAGCAGGTGATTAGTGCGCAGCTATTAACCCCGAGAGGAAGGATAAGTACCATCCGGCAAGTAAAGCGGCCACGCCTCAGTGCCGATCTTCTTCGGTTTGCAGCTTTCTTCAGCACGATGGCAATCCACGCAACAACGGAAATCCGATTTTCTTAAGCGGCAACAACACGTGTTCTGGCCGAGATTTCGGCCTTCCAGCGCCTGTCCCCTCCTAGCATCAGTCACATCACGGTCGTCGTCGTCTTCGTCGGGGATACTACGGCGGTGCCATCGACGATCCATCCCGACATCCTCCGAACCTTGCGCGTGTGGGCCGAAGAAATCCAGGTCGTGTGGACAACACTCCTTGCTCGATGCGGGGATATAGTCGTGCCCGCACACGACGTCGATTTGCAGCTTCGCTCTTCCAGCGATTCGCCGACGATCGTGTTACCAGAGCTTCGTCCCTTTGCGCCGCCCCGACGAGTCGCCGCCGCCTTTCTCTCTTTGGCCTTCCCTCTGACATCCCCACCCTCTGGCAATCTGCTCATGCCCGTGTCAAGCAAATCAGTGTGCCGACATTGAACGAGGAGAAGTGGAGCAACTGGTGGGAGGCGTACGCAAAGCTTGTCTTCTGCTTGCTGGAAGTAGAATTCTGCTGGTCTGAGCTGGCGCCGTATAGAGAGGGTCTAGAACTTCCAGACGACGAAGTGGAACTGCTGATTGTACAAGCCTAGAGAACGGCGGCGGAGGGGGATCTGTTGGGGATACTGTTCGGAAAGGTGGATGACGGAAATCTTGCTCTAATTACGAGCGAACTGCTGGTGTATCTAACACAACTAGTGGACAACATGCCCCTGGATATCTTATCGCGGTATGACAATCAGTCGGGCACCCACGTGCTTTCCCGAACACTCGAGCCACGCCTGTTGTGGTCCACGTGTACTGAGTTGGACGGCGGCAACTGTGTCCATCCATCCCAGGCTCTTTTTCTGGAGATCGACGTCACCGATCTCACAGTGTGGGACCCCATCATCCGACAAGGAAACGCGTGGCAAGAGGAACAAGAAGGCGAGGAGGAAGGCGAAGAAGAAGAAGAAGAAGAAAAAGAGTCGAGCGAGGATAGTGAAGATCCTGATTACATTCAGGAAGAAGAAGAGGAGCCATCAGGAGAAGAAGAGGTAGCAGGTGGGCCGAGTCAGCAGCCCGAACGAAGCAGGGAAGAGGAAGAGGCAGGAGCACGAAAAAGGTTGGAAAAGGCGGAGGGAAAACGGCCGATTGAGGAAAGGTTCCCGCCGGATCTATCGTTGGGAAACCCGTGGCTCGATCCAGAGCCCCCTAGGGAAGACGAAGGAAACGATGGAACCACAGCGGAGGGATCGGGAAGACGTCGCCGAAGAAGCGAATCGCCGACTTCATCTGGTTCCTCTGCCCGACCTTCCCTTCGCCTACGTCAGCATGAGGGCGATCGGGCTTCGTCCCCGTTTGTTCTCTCGCCGTCCCCTTGACTTCCTGATGCTCACCCGACTCCCTGGTAGACCCCCGTTCCCCGTTGGATGGTGTCCTTCCCTCCCGACCTCTTCCACCACCTTTACGCCACCCGTCTCCTAGTCACCGTCTTTCCGCATGTTACCACCCGCTCTGTAGTAGATTATTTTCTTCTCCATGTTCTCCTGTTTAGCGCAGATTGGCAGGAATATAACCATATAGAAATATATTGTATTATATCAGGAACGATCCCCGCTTGCGAAAACATCGAGAATTTTCGCACCGCTCGTCGCCGCACTCTCTCCACTATCTACCCCGACTACATTGCCTCTCTCCCCCACCATCGTGAGTAAACTCGTTTCACCTGCATCCATCGCTCCATCCATTACACCTCCCTTCCCGCTCTCGAGTCTCCGGCCATCAACCGTTCCATGCGTCCTCTTCCCCAGCATCCTCCACCGCCACCCCCATCGGTAATTAGATTGCCCTTCCTGGGAAACCTGTAGGTTGGAACGCTCCTCCCCCCCCACACTCCCAACTAACCCACCCCCTCGCCATGCCCCCATGTATCGTCTTCCCTTTCCCCTTCCCTTAGGTCATTGATGTATGGTTGATTGGTGTGCCACGGCGATGACACGCACGATCCCCTCCTCGGACTGAAGAGAGCCCATCCTGGGTAAATTGTAGGTTAGAGCCACATGTGTCACCTTAGATAACGTCCACACTCTTATCGAACGGTAACTGGCAACCAAGAAGGCTCCGCGTGTCGATCGATTAGGAAGATATACATGTGTCACGATTCAAGCAAGTAGGAGCTTGCTTAAGATTGGAACCCCCTGGGCGTCACATGTGACGAACCAATTTCTGTTCCGCGCGATTTTCTGCGCGATGACAATGAGGGGTCCTAAGATGGGAAGGTTGGGCCAATTACGGGAGATCAGGATCGAAGGGAAATTGCATCAGTGTCCTCGCTTCTTCGTCTTTTCCTTTTCATCGCTTCTTTTTGAATGGCTGGGTTCAGGGTCGGGCAAGTCCTGAGATGGCTGATTGAGTCTCCGTCGCGACGACAAACGGCGCGAATAGTAATGTTTGACGTCGGTTCTTTCTTGTTCAGCTGTCGGACTTTAGGCGCGGAGGTCGCGCGGGAATTTTGCTTCGTTCTTTTTGAATTCTTTTTTGAATCTTGTCGAGCCCTTGACGGCTCTCAGAACTTCGGATTTTCTTTTCGGGATTTGTGCTTCTTTTTGCATTAGTTAGGAATCTAGGAATTTAGTAATTCGGGATTTCTTTTGCCGCGTGTTGTCTTTCTTGCGCGCTTCTTTTTGCAGCTGCAACGGAGCTCTGATTAGTAAGCACCCTTAATCTTGCAAGTAATTGTAATTTTTGGGCGGGCGCCATTGTAACTGTATCCTTCTTCTTGAGCTTCGTCATTCCTGCTCTCTCTTTCCCTTTTTGCTGTGCCTAGTCAACCCCGTGGCCTGCATGCTCGAATCGATGTGTGGAGCGTGGCTACGTCCCCCACGCCGCGGTCTGGCCATGCAGAACGTAGGCGCTCCCTCTCCTAATCTCCTTTCTAAGTCCTTGCAATTCCGTGTTCTTCGCGCATACATGCACGCTATAAATTCCGACTGCGCGATTAGATAGCTCTCTTAACCAGCTGTTGGAAGTTCGGGGCAGCGCGATCAGTGAGGGTCGGCTCACGAGCGAAGTAAGAGGTGAGTTGAAGTGGGAGTCGGACGACCCGACGAGCTGGTGCCAACTGCGCGGGGTTGATGCGTGGGGCTACGACGGACTGTAGCGCGCGGGCGAACCTGACGAGTGCAGGAGGACTAAGCGGGGTGACGACTTTGTGGGTTGGTGCGTGACGACGGACTGCCCGCATCAGAGAGAGAGAGAGAGGAAGAGGGAGTTGAGGTTGATGAACGTGGAGTTGCAATTTTCTTTGTCTTATCTCCCTCTTTCCTTTTGTACATAAATTTTGATCTCGGCTCAGGGAGGCTTGCCCATTTTTCCTTGTTTTCGGAATTCTTGTCTTGGTTTCAGCCCACACTCGTTTCACAATTGGTCTTGATCCCGTGTATTGTGTGTTTTGTCGAATGAA